GTTCTTGGCTGAGTACTTACTCAGAAGCCTTAAAACGTCTTAAGAAATTTTCCAAAAGAAATAAAAAATATGTACATAAGACATCTTAAAAAAGAGATGTCATACAGATGTCTTTCTGACAGTTGCCAAAAATGAAGATTTTAAGATGTCTCTGAGACATCTTCAAGACATCATATTATTGTCTGGGGAGGATTTGCAAATTAATGATATTTCATCGGTAAATAAGGAATAAGAAATTTTAAAAAACTATGTATTCCGATATATCCGATTTCAGATAGGTTGAAATTTATTCTAATTCCTTATTCCTTCTATGTCTGCACCCTGAGAGGATGCTAAAGTGACCAAATTATCGACATTACAGAGTCGTATGAAAATCTCTGAATTGACTGAACAGAATAAAAAATCCTTTTACTTTATACTAAAATCGAAAAAAAATTTTAACTTTAACAACTTTTACAGTTTTAATTTTTAAAACTTTTTTAAGTTTTACAATCAAAAAAACATTAAATGTTTTTTCGATTTTAGTATAAAGTTCACTGCACTATCTCCTAATTTTGCGTTTATTTTAATCCTGTAAAAGGATTTTTGATTCCGTTCAGTCAATTCGGAAATTTTCATACGATTATAATGTTGATAATTTAGTCACTCCAGCATCCATTTGAAAATACAAACTGACATAAGTGTCGTTCTGTCTTTGTTACTAACGCGCTAAGAAAGCTAGAATGATGCTTGTGTCAACTTATATCGCCAAATAGAAAGCATCCATTATAGAACCTATCATTGTATATAAAATTGTCCATTCAAGTGTTACTACAAAAAATTAAACGATTTATAAGAGAAAAATAATGTTTTCAGTCAATTTTTTTGAATTTTTTATATATAGTTCTTGCATCTCTGTTTTAAAAAATCTCAATTTACAGAACATTTCTATCCAGTTTCTGAATTAAAATCAGGAATAATTAAGATCAGTAATAATACATTGATTTAAAGAGTTATATTTTTTATATGATACACTTTTGATGTAATATTCACATATCTATTCCCTCAAAATTAAGAAATAATTAAATTCACCAGTACGATGCGCAGCAGCGGAGTTGTAGTGTACATCAATCTGTAACACATAAATATATCCAAATTAAAACAATGTCCAACAAAAACCAACAAACATTTTTAAAAATATTACACGTGATTATTTTATTCGTCTTTTAATCAGATATTTAATAAATGAAAAAACAATTTCAAAAAACTTTTTTGAAATATAAATTCTTATAAAGTTCAACAAAAATATAAGAATTTCTAATTTCTATCCAAATAATCAAAATAATTATAAATAAAATTTTAATATATTGAAAATTTTATAAATATATACTATATTAAATGTTATAAATATTTTAATGAACATTTTAAGTATCTCAAAATAATTTATAATGTTTTATATGTGCTCCACAACAAAAAACGCGGAATGCAATTATCGCGAGGATAAGTGATCAATATTCCGCAAGTGACAAATAAATAAATAAATAATAAATTACCTATAGTTGCTCCGCCATTGCCTGATGCCTCCCAGGCCTCCTCTACCTTTCTTATGTCTCCGTGGCAGCTTCTTTGTTGCACTAAAGCACTCGCAAAAACACGATCGCGCACTGATAATCAAAAAACAACATTCGCGTGATACTTTATACGGCATTCCCAATATTAATCCCGATGCGCACTTTATAACATAACGAAATAATACCGCGTGAAAAAACGATTCAATGAAGCTGAGATTCGCTTACTCGTCGGCAGTCATTTTGAAAAAGCATCTCCCGTGATGCTTTTTTATTACGTTCACGCACACTCGCGCAAATGAGATTATAATCACGCGCACTGATGATCTACGAATCACGACAATCGCGCGACACTGCACTCCCGAAAATTAATCACTTCGTAATAACGCGGATTATCACGAAAGATTCGAACGAAGCTACGATTCCACTTGACCTCGTGACATTCCGTGAATTAAACTAGACGCAACGAACTAACCTTACGGCAGCCATTGGGGGGGTGGCGCGATGTAGAAAAAAGCGCGAATTGACGCGCACAACTTCAAACCGTCCCCCCCCCTTCCACGAAACGACGCGGTTATCCTTGTCTCACCTCAACTGCATTTTCTTACATTTTCAGCATTTTAAGTTTAACAAATAGTATATGCTCGCGTTCAGAGTCGATTGTATTCCTTGTTAAAGATAAGATGAACGAATATGCGAGTTAAAATCGAGGACAAATATTCGCGCGAAATGTAATATCCAAAAATATTTCCATTGCCTTCGACGAGCGCTGGACTTTGGCTGTGGCCAGTCTCGCTACAAATGCCTTGAAGCGTTTGATGGATCAATTAGAAGAAAGAATTTTACAAACTGACCAATTAAAAAACGCTTCAAAACGTTTGCAGCATCGCATTCGACCGTACTTTTTGTTCGATCGAACAATCTCGTAAGACAAGTGTTTCAAGACATTGCCGAAATGTTAATGCCGAATTTATACTAACGGGTATTGAAACACGGAGTTAATTATGACAGTATTGACTAATTAAGCGCATTATAGACTGTGTTCCAAAATTTACCGCCAGTACTGAAAATCCATAGTGCACGTGACGTAAACTATAGATTTTCAATACTGGCAGTAAATTTTGGAACACAGCCGAATTTCAGAATCTCTCTCGTACCTGCGGCCTGCGACGTTCTGTGAATGACGAAAAATACTGAACATTGTCACCAACTTCGTTCTGATGCTGTGCGGTATGACGTGAATCGAGTTAATGGCCCGTATTCAGAACGCGCTTACAACGATGTTAACGCTCTAACATACTATACTTTACGTCACGCATATTATAGAATTTCAGAGATAAAAGTGCGCTTTTATCGATAAAAGCGTGTTCTGAATACAGGCAAATATATTTAACTAGTAGTAGCGCGTTCCGAAAATATACTGATAATACCGAAAGTCTTTGAGCTCACGATATGCCTATAAATTATATTCAGAATTATTATCAGGATTACTGTCAGTACATTTCGAAATAAACCTAAGAACTCAACAAATTAATCGAAAATATTAATTTTCAATACGTTAATATGTAAATTTAATTACAAACTAAAAAAGCAATTGAAACGCGATATAAGAGCTACTCGATGCAAGAAGCACATTAAAAAGAGAAATACTACAAAGACAATTCGTAATCTTATTTTTCCGTTTCAAGTGATTCAAGTGAATAAATCACGCGAAATATTCACCTTGACGAACGCTCGTCGCTCGTGTTAAACTCGCGAATCGTTTCTCGTAGGGTCTATCTAATCATATATGTAGATTGAAGAATCATTTTTAATTTTTCTTAGTATACCTCTCGCGGCTCGAGGGATAATGATAGAATCGGATAGATGATACGGCAAGCGACCCCCGGGTCGTTGCGTCCTGCCTACTCGAATCTCACCGCGCGAATGATAACAAGGTCGCCGCGAACGTTTACTACAACGCGCTGCGTCACAGAGTTCCGCGTATAACAGTGACGCGTCGCTATTTGTTTCACGCACTCTGTAACGAACGCGCATTCAATTACCGCGTATACTGTCGCATGTTTCGCTCTTCGTTTTGTGAATATTAATCCTTACAAGGGAATGACGTGGGTTTTTCCTCGATTGTTCTGAATTTTTGCCAGTAGATTGGGGTGTATCGAAAAAAAAATCGATACACGTTTTGCACAGACACTCGATAGTTTAAGAGCTATAAAATTGATCGGATTACACTCTTATATAAAACTCTAGATTGTCGGTTCAAATGTCAGTAGTGACAATTTTTATTACCTTTTTACATTTTTCAAATTTTGCTTATATGAAAAATATATCCTTTTCAATAAAAAAAACTCAAAGAATTAATTTTAAAGAACTTTTCATCCAAAAACAACTTTGATTGATTCTATTAACGTATTCTATTATTCAGTGAATTTAACTAATAAATATTAATATCTCTTAAACTATTGAGTGTCTGAACAAACGGCAAAATACGTATTTTGCTGTTAATAACTGACCCATTAAACCGAAAATTGAAATGTATGTTTAAAAAGATTTTATTTACGATATTTTACAATAAATGACATGCATTTGCATTAACATAAACGAAATATTACAAAAATACCTAATAAATACCTAATAATGCCTTAAAATAGCTATGAAAAGTAAACTAAATAAAACGAATTACATGAGCAAATTATTTTAGTAAAGAATATATGAATACATTATATAACTTAATAAATTAATGTTCCTATTTTACAATATTAAAATTCAGAGAATACTTATTTTCATATTTCTATCAGTGGTTTCAATCTCCTAAATTTGGCATTAAATAATATTATCGTAAGTGCTGGCAATACCTATAGTGTAAAAATACAAGATGAAACGTTTCCGCGGATATGTAGCAGGAGAGTGGATTTGGACCTAAATTTCATTGACTGTTCCAGTATGCTACTGCTGTTATGCGCAACGTTTCACCTTGTTTGTCTTCTTATTACACCATAGCAGTATCGATAAATTGTAGTAAAACGTATATATGTATGATATATACGTATGATATATTTAAGTTTTTCAACAAAAATTATATGATTTTTTTAATAATCCTTCAAAAAATACAGTCAAAATCTTATTTACAATTATAATAATACAAATTTATTCAACTAATATCTGTTCTCGTTTGGTTAAACGTATATATATTTGTATTATAATAATTATTAATATATTTAACACGTTATAATAATATATATATGTTATTTTTAAAGCATTAAAAGTTGTTTTGATATAGCTAACTTCTATTAACAAAGAATAAAAAATTAGCGATTAATCTTTCAATAGTATATCCAGTAAAATTATCAGCCGAATCTTCTCAGATTATATCCTATACGATTATGACATACATTACGACTCGTTATAGACAAGAAGCTAAATTATCATTAGTACAACGCATACATTTTCGACTCTATATCACTTTTGCCTTGCTTGGAATTCTGGAAAATTTATCTTTTGACTGACACATCTTTGTATTGACAACCTCAATGGCCAAAAAAATATCTGGATGTATCACTTTATCGCCGAAGACGGGAAAATGACTGAATCATCCAATTCGTTCTATTAATTATTGATTATTTGATAACATATACTTTTGACCGAAGAATTCGAATACAATTGTTTGACATCGGCAATGAACATTTTACATAGTTCTTTTTTCGATTTGGGTTCTTGTCGACATTCTCATTCCATAACTAATGTTCATGCTGATTCAGTAATTTTTTTCTGTTTTCATTTTAAAAATTATGTACGTTAACATCGCTGTGAGTTCGAAACGCATACGGTCCTTTTTATCAAACAACATAATAAATTAATTTTCAACATCTTTATTATATTAATTACTTGCTTATTGCCTTTATTCTTATTTTATTATTGTTACACATTACGAGCTAGATAAGTTTTACTTGCTCTTTATATGATTGTAAGTGTAATCAGTTGTAACAAAAAATTATTAGAGCAATTAAATCACTGAAGCAAGTTAAACTATATCAATTTTTATCTAAGAGGAACTGATGAAATAGATGTCATAGATGTTAACGAAGATGGCCCAGAACTAAGGTTAAGCTTATCTAGTTCTTCATCTGCTTTGTTGTTCTTCAGGTCCTGTTGTGTGTACAGGAATTTGTTCCATTCATCAATTCTGGGATGAGCTAGATGCTGTATCAAACAAAAAATTAAGTACAACATAGTATAAGTTTCAGCACGCAATAGTGCCAAATACTATAAAACAGTCGAGAAAATCTTAAAAATATCATCGTACGTACCTCGGCGACGTCGTACACCCATATTTTACCAGTATCGTCTCCGACAGTGACATGCAACCCGCTTGGCGTCCATGATACCCTGTTTAGAGCAGGACATCCGTCAACGACGACACTAGCGGTGGGTACCTCCGTATCCTGATTCAGATTCCACAAATCCAACCTGCCCGAATCATCAACAGCGGCAAACAGGGCCGGGTGTGTTGGAGACCAAGCAACATCATAAACGTAATCGCCGTTATGCTCGAAAGAGTAGAGCGACTTGTTCTCTTTCAGGCTCCAGAGTTTGATAGTCCAGTCGAGAGAGGATGTCAGGAATAGATGAGAGAAGTCTATACCGCCTTGCACTGCGTGTGCGCTAATGCCAGTGACCGGTCCCTGATGACCCTCGTACGTTTCCGTCAACCCAGCACGGCTACCGTGCCGACAGGCTATTCGATAAAATGTTAAAATATTAATAATATTTTGAAAGTTTATTTTTCAATATTCTTACGTACATGGACAATCACACTTACCCGAGTAAACAGTTCCGTCCTCACTTCCCATGACGAAATTGTTAACGTCGCCGTGCGGAAAGGCCAAACACGTAGCGGCGATCGCTTTCGATTGCTTCGTGTGTAATTCCAATGCCTCTTGCGGCTGTGACAGCATGTCCAGACTCCATGAGCACAATTTGCCGTCTGTTGAAATGCTAATCAAATTGTGTGCGTTTTGTGTTCCAACGACGTTCAAACAGTATACTGGATGCTGCAGAATAAATAATAATGTCCTCATTCTCGCACTTTAAGTTTAGAAGCCAAGAGCTTAATTAGCTAATTAAGCTATGTTAAAAAGTGATAAGCCACTTACGGTGTGCGCAGTGGCAGATAAGGGGGTACGTTGTATGGGAGTCCTTTTCTGTACTCGGTTGTCCCATAGCACGATTTGACCAGAGTAAGTGCCGCCCAGGATCAAGTTTGGATGGAATCTGGCGAACGTGGTAGACATAACGGGTGACTGACAGTGGAAGATAAACTCTGGAGTTGTTTTCTTGAATTTCGTGTTCCAGATTAAACATACACCGTCAGGATCGTTCGGAGTGTCGTCATTGTTGATGTACGAAGCTACTAAAAGCTCGGGGAACTGCGGTGACCAATCCATGGAGGTCACACAACGATTACGAGACCATCGCTCACAGATGAACGAGCGATTGAGCCAGAGTCGTTGATGACTCTTCTCATCCCTGCAAAATCAGAACAATCATTTATATCGCAGAACGTATTTACTATCTCAACTATACTGTCCTAGAAATAAAAGATTGACAAAAAATCTTTTAGTTGTAATTATATACGCGAATTCTTTATTCGGTCAAAGCGGATCTAAGTGCTTAAATATTTCTGTGTAAATTTATATACATATTTGATTCTGCAAATTTCATGCCGAAATTTTTTTTGTCTTCAAACGCCATCATGAGTAGAACCAGAGTAATAATATCACTTTTATTAAATTGACAAGCAATTTAATAAAAGTGGTATTAATATTCTGTAGTAATGTAAACATCTTCATAAAAGTACTAGTAATCAGATATCAATAAGAATCTTAAAATCTACGAACAATTATTGTGAAAAATTTTCTGCTTACATTCCATCTTCGCCGTCCATAGTGCCAGCATAATCGGTGTAGATATCAACCGATTCGCTCAATGCTCTTTCTACAATTCTGCTAGTGCGATCGAGGAATCGTTGGAAGTCTTCCGATAGGATAATCATTTGCTTCTCTTCTTCGCTGAGTTCCCGTACTACAGAATTAATAAAAATCAAGATTTTTTTTCAATGAACAAAAATGATGTAAAAGATTGATAATTTACACACCTTCTTTTTTAGGCTTCTCTTTCTCTTTCTCTTGCTCTACCTGTGTAACAGCAGGTTGAACCTCCTTAACTTGCGGTAATCCGTGAGGGAGTATTCCTGGTGGAAGTTTACTCTGGAAACCGTCCATGTGCGGCAAGCTATTTTCTTCATCTTCGGCTTGGCCATCATCAAATGTCAAAACTGTGGTGAATAAGCTGGTTCCGCCACAAGTATCCTAACTTGGATATAACTACCTAGCTACTGATCTACTTATTTATTCAAAACTCGCTAATACTCTAATAAACCTATTAAATCTTTTAGAAATACTGCTTTTATAATAAAAAAAAAAACTAGTTATGTTTCGATAAATATTGAAACGCTTTAAAGAACATTTATAGAGCAATAATCTATTTATCTTGAATTCACATCTATAAAAAAAACCAACACTTTCTGTGCATTCTGCTAAAATCCTAACATTTTCATTTTCGTATTTGTTTTTATACTTCAAGTGAAAAAGGTTACGTACTATTTAAATTGCACAGGTAACTATTGACTTGCAAATATTTAATAAAATCTTATTTCGAAGGAGCAACATCTAGAAGCATTAATAAATGCTATATCAAATAATTTAGATGCCATGCTAGAAAAAAACGTAAAGTTTCATATATATACGGGAACAACATCATAAGTGTGAGCCTAGATAACATGCAAAATTAGATACATGTACGAAAGGTGGATTATCAATAAATAACGTTGATTTTACATTTTCCATTTTGTTTTTTTTAATTGCGTCTCTCCACCCTTTGTTGGCATGCAGTATCAATAAAGTAGAACGATGCGAATAAAAATGAATGTGGGCGATGTAAGTAATAAGAAATTATTAATTTTCCCTTTACCAGTAATTAGTAATTACTAATTACTAAATTATTATATACTAAGTGTGTAATTACACAGTTCAATAAAAAATACACAAGAACAAGGATAATCGTTTCTCGTAGTTTTTGGCACTGAATACGATGTGTATCACTTTATCATTTCGAATTTCGAAAAATTTATAGTTAAAAGTTGCAAAAAGGCCTCTTAATGTACTTTCTAGATAGATTATTACTACGATATGTGACATGTTAAGAAGTTTTACTACAATCAACATTAAGTATATCTTAAAAGAAATTCGTCGGCAATTACATTTAAAAAGTATTTGTAATTAATATAGGGATTATTACATTATATTGCAACTTATGTATGTCATTAAAGAAATCTATCAAATATTTTTTTAATCATTCAAATTTAAGAATTTTTCAGGTCTTTGAATATTAACGTGATGTTAAAGTTAATAAAATAAAATAAAAATTTAATAAACTTAAAATAACAAAATCAAAATAGCAAATGAAAAATGTTCAAATTTTTTAAATAATTCATATACCATAAAAGGATTAATGCATAAATTTAAATTTTTATTAACTCTCTTTGACATCAGATTTAGTGATCTAAAAATCTCTTTTCGAATAACATAATTAAAAAAGTTAAATATACTAAACAGGGAATCGATATATTACCTTAAAAAAATTTTTTTATATATCTTTTGAATATGAATCCTACAGCCAATATATAAATCGCAACTTTGATACAATAAATCTTATATTGATCATAAATATCTTTTTAACCATAATCAACAAAAATTTAATTTTTAATAAAAAAATTACTTTTTAAGAAAAAAGTCCTAATAATATATATTTAATTTTGATTGAAATGAAACTTCTCCAATACGTCACACATCGTTATAATAGACTCGGTCCGTCGCAACTCATCGGCTTGCATAAAGGAGGACAGCCGGTTTCGCGCCATGACATCGCTACATTTGTTTAGTGTTAAGACATTACTGTGTCTCCAGATATGCTAAAATACGCTGAAATAGCAATAAACTTTTTTGCTATTTTATTATATTAAAGTTGTTTTTTTGTGACTTCAACTCCACATTTCTCAAAATTGTGATGTGATAGAATAATTCAATAAATAAGGTCGTATTTATATAGCGCCAAAAACTGTGCGAAATTTATCTTCAGTCTTGTATTAAAAGTCTTTTTTTGTTAAATAGTGCTGTCAACTGGAATCACGTGTAAGGATGTAATAATTGCGTGAGGTTTTATTTCTCTTTTAATGATCAATGTGGTAAATAAATGAAGATCAATGAAGTTGAAAGAAGTGAGATCATAACCGCGATCGTGTGAATTAATTCTTCTTTAAGGTTCCTGAGTAGTTGACCACATTGGATCGTGACGTCATATTCAAGAAATGAAGTTTCTTGCATGCTATTTATAAAAAAAGAGAAATAATTTAGATAAAACAAAATAATGAAATGGCTTTAAAACACTTGTAAAAATGGGCCAAAGTTATACTTATCCCTCTTGACAGTCAGTAAATAGTCATAAAAGGCATGTGAAGTGCGTTTACCAGTATTTATCCAATGTGCATGCGTAGCCTATTTTTATTTCACGTGTCTTTTACGACTGTTTATTGATTGTCAAGGGCAGGATAAGGATAGCTTTGACCCATTTTTACAAGTGCTTTAAAGTAATCTTATTATTTTTTTTATTCAAATTCTCTTTACTTACAAATAGCGTACAAGAAACTTCAACGTGTTATTTTTCACTTGTGACATCACGATTTTATATAACAACTATTCAGAAGCCTGAAATAATGAAGCAACAGACACGAATGCATAGCGAGTGGAGACGATTTAACGCAACTTTCCAGATCTCATGCAATACTGATTGAATTTACAACATCTATAAGTACGACAACTAAAATAAGTATATCTACAATTTTCTGTCGCTTCTCAAAAATAATAAAGAAAAAAATTAAGAAATTTTGTATCAAATATTAAAGTGCTAAATTCTAAATATTCTTCAGTGTCATTAGGTAGATTTAAGTTCTAAAAAAAATAACGATATAAAACACAATATTTTTGCATGCGCGATAAAGCGGACTTATCTTGGATTGCGTAAAGAGAAATATAATAAAAAATATATATATAATAAAAGAATCATTAAGCAATTTATAAACGCTAGGGATGATTTCTTCCCTTCAGTGCATAGATAAGATAGAGACGACAAATTGCAAATTACGTGACAAAATTACTTTTAGGCGCAATTACTTTGTGAAAGTATGAGGTAAAATTATGGACATGTTTGTGAAATAATTAGATAAAGTGAACCGTCTCTAGAGAGGAAGTACCTACCTGTGAACTCGTCCTCCCATTCTAAACCAGGATTTAGATTGTACTCGTCTTGAAGGAGGGAAAAGAGAAAATGTCAATCAATTTGATATCCAATTTGTCGGAATCGTTTTTAGAGCTTTTTAAATTTATATATACACACACACACATACACACACACACACGGAGTGAATTTTAATGAATGTCTCAACGTTTTACTATGGGAGATGAATTACGACTGTAACACATAAGAAAGAGTGAAATCCACGTGTAAGAGAAAGTGAAATATTCATCTTCTATGGTAAAATATTAAGACATTCATTAAAATGCATTCTGTGTATATACATAAGGTGCTACCCAATTATTGACACAATGCTTTTATGCAGGTAGAGCGTACCAAACTGAAGTCCTGTACCATTTTACAATTCTCGCAATAATTAATGAGAAATTAATTACTAAAAATCGTAGAATAAACTAGAGAGCTTCTCAGGGAGAGAGTGGGAAACGTGGTCATATTAATGGAGCTTTAGTGACCCCCTCCAATCAGGACGCACGTGATCAGTTTTCTCCAATCACTTTCATGCCTATGGAGCTTTAATGATCATGTTCAATCAGAGAAGGAACAGTTTACCATTCTCCAAGAGGTTCTCTAATGAATCCAGTCTACCGTCAATTCTAAGCGCGTGGCGAACTATAGTCGTCCAAGTACAGTCATAGTTACTAGGCGCAGGAGTTATTTACTACAAGCAATAAAGGCACACGAGCGATGCGTTGTGCTGGATCCCTGCTCTAATTGTAAGCTATGATTATCCCCCATTTTTCTTATCAAAATGAAATCTTCTAACAGGATAAGAAAAATGTATATAAAATTAAAGTATTTAATAGTACAAGAATAAAATCAATTAGAACAAAAACTAAAAATTAATAAAATAAAAGACTACAATGAGTCAGAGTTGAATGTTAGTATTAAGTTATTATTGCTAAATATGTCATATAATAACATTTTTCTTCTATTGGATCATTTTCAATATTTAACAAATTGAAATATCAATAATTATTAAAACCAGTATATAGCAGTTAGTTAGAGTAGGGTTAGTTGTGACACTTTTTATTCAAATTATTATAAATCTTCATTATTTTATCATATGATTACGATAAAATAACGAGAATTGTTTTAAAACGTTGCGTATACTTCTGGCTCATATAATAATTAAGTAAATCCTTAATATATTTTGTAAATAAGAAAAAAAATTTTGTTGATTACAAAGAAGCAAAGTGTCTCAATGGACCTCATGAGGCATGTTAAGCAATCCCGAAGGATAAGTTGTTCTCAAGATAATCGTTTAATAATATTATTACATCGATGCAGTAATTTTATCATAAAGTAACATGGCATTTAATATTAGTAGTTATAACTTCGGCGTAAATCGAGCCGCGTAAACGTAGTATAACTGCTAGACGGCTGTATCTCATTGCGGCTGTATCACTTAGATTTAGTAGGCTGGGTATATTCGGTAATTTTTAGTGTTTTCGACTATAGTAGGTTTGTATCAATCTGAGTTGGATTAATAATGTATGCTCTCTATTATTGGTAGAGCATGTAACACCAACCAATAGCAGAACATCCATTCTAGATCGGTGCAAACCCGCTATAGTAAAAAACTCTAGTAGTAATTTCTCGTTAACTAATGAAAAAATTGCAAAATGGTACAGGACTTTTCAACTCATAAGTTTAATCGGCTGCATCTGCACATAAGTATTGTACCAATAATTAGGAAACACCCTAGATATGTACATGTGTGTGTATGTATATATATTATATGTATATCTTTAAGTAGGCATTATTAATTTGTAAGTTCCAATTTACAATAGGTGTAATACGCTTTAAACCGTAGGAAATTAACTAATCATAGTCGAATGTGAGGAAAATAATCGACTATGATTGATTAATTGCTTACAACTTAAAGCTTACTAAACCCTTTGTAGATCAAGACTAATGATATGTATATGTACAAAAGCCAAAAATTATTTGAGTCTTATGTTTCAAAATTCTCTAAAGAGTTCAATAAGAAGTTTCCTATTTTTTTTAAATATGTAAAAAAGTTTTAATATCTTCGCTTAAATATTAAATGAAAGATTTCATGAGGATTTTCGTTCTTATTTTTCATACATATATAGCGTTTGATTTAAATGGAAACACTCAATTATTTTTTTAAATAATAAAAATATAAAAAATTGTTCAAATAATTTACGTTACTTTTAACATCTATAACGACTTAAATAAAAATTTATTTTTTTAATAAACATTTCTTTATTGGAGATATTTTATCTTTCCGCTCATACCTAGAAGTAATACAAGTGAAAGTAAGTATCTCACGAATCATTACCGAAAATTATAGTTTATTGCACCTGTTATGATTGAACTTGTTATAAAATATCTTACAAAACTATAATAAAATAAAGATAAAGTATAAAAAACAGTTCGCTCTATTAATATCCAGAAGAATATAATTTAATAATAGGCCAAAATATGAGTAATTTTATTGCATTGGCCAATTAATTTCATTTATTAGATCTTTATGAATCAATATTATATATTGATTTGGATATTGATTCGTTTGCGTTGAGGAAAATTCTTTGACAATCATTTACGATTAGAAGAGGCATGCAACGAAATCATAGATAGAAGGAAGAATTAAAAATTTTATATTTTTTTATTCGAAATCATAGATAGAGAAGGAAGAAGTAAAAATTGTATATTATTCGCCACCATAGAATTGATTTCCATGATTATTATATTACGTTATAGACCATGATTGATCAATCTTTGATTTCAGAATATTTGACTGCGTCAACATTTACGGCTATTTTTTTATCATTTAATTGTTCAATTAATAGTTAGATTTATTATATGTATAAACATATACATATAATTCTTTGATAATAGAGGTTGAAAACTGTGAGTAACGTCAAAACTTGTTCCGCTTATGATATGTAATTATTATAATTTTTTATTGTGTATTATAGTGTAAACTGTATTGTAACACATCATATACGTTCGGTTTTGGCCTATTATTAAATCATAATATATTTTTCTGGGGGAAAATAGATATAGATACTATTCTATTATATATCTAAAAGATAAAACTGTTATTTAAAAAAATATTTTTAAAATAGTAAATAAAAAATTAGAACATTAGAACTTTTATTAAAAAAAATTTTTTATAACTCTATTATTTAAAAGAAATATACATTTAAATCAAACGCACTTTATATTATTTCATTCTTTTTTTCGCGTTAATTGATACGGAATATGATGAGGTAGGATATTTCTCGGAAAATAAATTTGGCGCGAAAACTCATTATCAGTAAATTTCAGAAAACAGTTTTCAAAATGAAGACAAGTAAGGGATCATGAAATTGAAATAACGATTTAATACAACATACTGACATCTCCGACTGTTAAAATAAAAATCGCACGTTCTTTCAAGTTTTTTCGATTAAGACACGAGATATTTATAGTAGTTACTTTTTAAACGTTGACTAGTGAAAATAAATCTACATTCATAAGACAGGAAAAAACAAAAGTACGTACACATTTTGAGAATGCTGTACGGCTATGCTGCGATATATTCAGACACATGTAGAGAACAGACAAAATATTGTAACGTGATCAAAGTGTGAAATCATTCGTATTGCGTAAACAATTAAATATAAATAGTGGTTAATAATCGAGCCAAATAAAGATTTTCTTTAATTAAATTATTATTTTATAATTATATGAATAATATAAATCAAAACATAGATCAACAAATCAAAACAACGCATATACGTTTCGAGACCACCTTCTTTAGCTAATCATAAAGTGAATAATAATAAATTCGCATTCTTAATAATAAAAACCTATTCCATTAATAAGAATAAAAATTTTTATTAATACCAAATGATGAGCCAACTTTTTGTTAATAAAATGAGTATATTATAGAGTACATGAAATGAGTAGTATATTTTCTAGGTGTTCACATTATTTTGTCTATACTCTGCATACTACTGTGATTATAAAAAGTATCGGGATCAATAAAACGCAAACTATGAATTTATTCATCCAATTTCGTCCCCTTCAAAATAATTCTCTCTCACTGCAATACATTTATGCCAACATTTTTTCCAATGCTCAAAGCATCTTTTTTGATCGATTTTGAGTATAGTCTTCAGAATGCGTGGCGAATTTTTTTTTATCGTGTCTATCGATTCAAGACGATGCGATAATTTACCACGAAGCGGTAATTTCAGCCGAGAGAATAAGAAAAAATCACATGGCATATCAGACAAATATTCGAAATTATATTCGTTGAATTTTTGGCTATAAAATTACAAACAAGACAAGAAAAATCCTTGGAGAGGACTCCTTTTGCCTATAAATTGATTGCCTATAGCATTGATTTGTCTACATCTCATTTGCCTACATATCGCCTTAGCCCTCATTAAATTTGCCTATATCTTTTGTGCACAAATATAAAATGAAGAAACAAAGGTAAATACGTTTGCACACACATTATTATTGCTAACAGATCGATTGCCTATACAAGTACTTAAATTATATAAAAAAAAATTGTTCATGTTTTTAAAGATGAGAATTTGTGTTTTTAAAGTAGAGAATTTGTGTTTTAAAACAGAGAATTTATGTTTTTAAAGCAGAAAATAGTGCTTGTAGGCAATCGAGCTATAGGCAATAATACATGTAGGCAAATGTGACTTCGTTTCTGAAATTTGTATTTGTGCGAAAAAATGCATATAGGCAATCGAGCTGTAGGCAATAATACATACAAACAATCAATATGTAGGCAAACGGAATCCTCCCGAAAAAGTCCAGCGTTTTTGGGAGGACCCCGTTTGCCTACAAATTGGAATGCGAGATGCGACGCGTCTTACGCCTAAATTGTCTTTCAAAATTGAGTGGCATGAGCCAAATGATATTCCAACACGTTCAATTATATCTTGAATTGTCAATCGTCGATCACTAAATCCTTAATTTCTTTGACGTGTTGCTCATCTGAAGTGAAAGTTTTCCTTCTTCAACGCGTTCTCTACCCTTTTTGAACATTTTATACCATTCGAAAATTCTTTTTCTTAACATGCACTCATTACTAAAACATTTCCGCAACATGAAATTTCGTTCCGAAGACAAAATTTTATGCAAATTCTTTACTTAACAAAATTCTATACATTAAAAATCGCCGGAAGTATTTTTTCTCAATTACAAAACAAGCATTTATTGTAGACTAACAAAGGTAATGACGTAAAATTTTAAGCAGAAGTTAGAAACAGTTCTATATACAGAGAGTAGTATTATCATTTTAACTCTGTTAATCTACCGACTTTTGTCGCTACCCTATCCACGTGCTGTTAAGAAGCAATACCAATAGCGACTGAGGAACATTGTATAATAAAAAAATGTTCCTGCGCCACTAAACGCTCAAAAGATATGTCTTTGTATAAAATATTAAGATGTTACATATACATATATCAGTAATAATTTACTAAAAACAGAATCGAAGTGTGACTTCACTGGGAATAACGTGTGTAATGTGTTCTCCATCTTGAATTCAGTTAATATCCCACAACACTTTAGCTCTATAAAAATTGCTTTCATGTTAGTAAGCATTTATGATGCGTTAGCATTCCCAAAAAGATTTCAAGTAACGAACATTGCGCTGAGAACTCTGGAAGGTGCGTTAAGTTGTGACAAGATTTGCCAATGGATATTTCTCTCGAAAGATTCCAATATCCTTGATTTGCCATGATGAAACGGCATCAAGAATATCATTAATAGTAATCAGAGCTTTATAATCATTTTCATTAAACACTAATTCAATTTATTTCTTTTTTTTACCCTCACATTCTTTCAATAATATCAATATAAGAATATTTTTTTAATATATCTACTGTGTAAAATTAGTAATACACATCGTAAGAGACAGTTTGAAAATATTACTAAAATCGTGTTGGAAGAATCAGGAATATAAAAAAAGACAACCATCTTTGAAACTTATGCATGCTTCCCAAGAGTCAGATATATGCGGATAGATTTGTGTAGTGGGCCTGATAGCAGATTTTTTTGCTGTATAGAGTCGGGATGTCAGATAAATATTTAGAAAATAATAAATACGATAAATAAGAATAAATGCATCCAAAAAATAGGCAGACTTAACGAAGAAGAGAGTTGGAAAAAGTATAAAAGCATATCCATAAAGACCGATTAGGCTCCGGGTGGAGAGTTATTTTGTATTCCTCTTGCTGACATTTCCTATGGAAAACGTTAAATTCTGTAGACGATATTCTTCATCCGTTTTCTAGTACCGGCTGTATCTATTTCGAATAAAGGCAAGTAAAAACACTATCTAGTATGTTGCAAATATCAATTAATTTCATGTAATGAAACGTACTGATAGGCTAACAATACGCGTTACATTTTTGGCGAGCAAATTGTAAATTTAGTAATAGTTTCTCTTATTTTACCAAATTCGCTTTGACATCAATAATCTAGAATAATATTTGAAATTTAATCTGAATATTCTGTTGCCAAAAATTGTAGTACTCAATTCTCGCATAGTACCTTTTCTTTAAAACGATCGCTTTAAGTAATACAAACTGAATACAAGCTAAACCTAACTGTGAACCTAAAAATGGTTTTCAGAACCAAGAGAAATCATAACTTACCGTAATAGTCGAATGCATGAGCTGAGAAGGGGAGGGAAAAAAATTGTACTTAGTTACGTTATCATAAGAATGCATTACATTAATATAACACCTCTCTACACTCAGACTCATTAGTTCAAAATAAAAAAAGTCTACAACCAACTTTAAAATTGTACGAAAGGATGAAACATTTCGTAATATGTCTGGCGGTTTAAGAAATATTCGACTGTATACCCCATAGAAACGACAAAATATAAAATTTTTTAGTAATATATAATTTATTTGTGAAAATTTTTTCAAAGAAGTGGATAATAAAATCATAGCGTTTCATAGAAGTGATTTTCAAATATCTCATATTTTAAAATAAAAAATATTACGCTGAATGTAGTTAGGTGAATATAATTTTGTAAATTTTTATATATGGTGCTTCGATTCCTACGTATAAGAGGAAACGTACATATTCAGAATATTTATCATTTTTAGGGTAACGTTTTATCTTCCATGTTCAACACTTTCGTTTTTTACCAGCGACTGTAGCGTTAAATATTGATCCAAAATTGCGAGAAACTTTAGTTTGTTTTTTAATTATCCTTAACAGTAGATGCTCTCTAACGAATACACTGCAATATCTCACTTACATCCCTTGTCACACTTATGCCCACCCTCTAAGTCTCTCTCAAAATAAATGTTGCTATTTCATTGTTCTTGTTAATATATGGGAACAATAAAGCAAAATTTTAAAAGCGGACATTTCTTTATCAATATTAAAGTACAAATACTAGACAACACTTTACCAAAAGCGTTAAAAAGTACCACAAAAGAAACTATTTTCATATCTTACATACACAGAGTGTCACAAAAAGGTCGGGACACTGAATTATTTGGAAAAGAAATGTTTTCGTAAAATTTTTCATACAGAAGTTACAGGATGCCAAATTATCCATGATATTAGTTTCTTTTTGAACGATTTTGAGAATATCACATCAAGGTCAGATGTGACATTCGCAAGACTATTCAAAGTCAAACTAATATCACCACATAATAGGTGACTAGATACTCTACAATTTTTGTATGAAAATTTTTCCCGAAAACGTCATTTTCGAAATAATACAATGTTCCGACCTTTTTGTGACATCCTGTATACACTCATTAAATACCACATGGCTTTTTATATCTAAAAATATATTTGGAGAAACATTCTATCAAAGTAATAAGAAAAGCCTGTAAGAACCAACACAAAATAAACTTGTGTTACAAATATTTATTACATAAAAATAAAATATAGAAGTTTCAACTTTCGATTAAAGTCCTTTTCAGTATACAAGATGTCCTAAAAAGACATATGTTCTTTCACTGGTAGATTCTGTGAAACATTTTAAGACGAAAAGTCTTATACAAAAACGTCGAGCTATTTCCCTAAAAATGAAATATATTTTTTTCTAGTTGTAGCTGTAGTTACATCAGTATTTTTATCTTAAAGCATTGTTAACGTATAGAATCATTAACGCTTTAAAATATGAAACTGAATTTCGGCAGTTAGGCATTTTTGCGCATCAATTATGTTAGTATTTAAAAGCGAGTCAATGTACAAGGGCATCTTCGCAACCATGCATAAGTGCGCGAATTTCAAACGCTACAATTGGCAAACTTTAATAGTTTGTAATCTGAAAAATATTATAGCCTCGACGTATTTCTACAAAACTTTTCGTCTTAGAATGTTCCACAGTATGTATCATAAAGGACAACATATTCTTTCTTATTTATTTTAAAATTATATAAATATATAGGGACACCCTATATATTAATATAATTCTAAAATAATCAGTACTGTAAGATAATGACATATAAATAGAAAATAAAATTAAAAGACAATGTTTTTGAATAAGACATGCTTGGTCATAGGATTCGTCAAATTAAAAATGGCAATAATCATGCTTCATATCTATAATATTATAGTAAGACGCACTTGACTACGAGATCTCATAAATTGTTAGGGTGAAAGCGTTTCACACATAATTTATCCAATAAGAATCAAACTTATTTGAATTCATCAAACGATTTACTGTAATAAAATTAAATGTTCTTGGCTCACAATAAAATATAAAATTATAAAAATCGTAAACTTATATGAAATTCTTAAATTGAAACAGATTTTTGATAACTACACAATCTCAAAATCTTATAAGAGAAGAATTAATAACAACAACATGTATAAACAATACATAATTATCATAAAGACTACATCTACACGATAGATTTAATAACAACGGTAGTTATAACTACTAACGTAAAATATATATCTGATAGCGAAAAGATGTAGACTTACAAAATCGGTTTTAAAAAACCGTGTAAACGCAAGGAACGATTGTTACGCTTTTATTGCCAATCTTGAATGCTACAAGCTTATAATATAACCAAAGAATTATACATAATTGCTTTCATTATATCAGTAGGATAAATTAAAACCGCTTCGCATAAAAAAGTACACATTTCGAGAGTTATAATTACGGATGTTACTATACCCGATTAATAGTTGTCACATAAACGTAGTCAAAGAGAGAGAATCAAGTGTTATTATTACGGACATGAAGCATAATTATTGTCATTTTTAATTTGACATTACATCTTATGATCATGTCTTATTCAAAGAACGTTTCTACTTTCTATTTATATGTCATTAGTGCATTGTTAATTTTGAATTATATAAATATAAATCAATAATAATAAAATCGAAGGGCTACGAGCCAAAAATTTAAACTTTAATATTCAATGAAAAATACAAATATATGTTTCGACATCATTATCAATGTAATAAATATAAATATAAAAACAAATTTTAATCGAGTAACACGGCGATTATCAAAAAATAGAAATGATTGAAAATGCTGTCTATTCGTCGATGATACATAGTATTCAAGTATCCTGTCTCATGTGCAACTTTAATTATCCAAAAATATTAGTCATGTGCGGAATTTTCTGTTAAATTCATGTCTGATGGGAATCATAGTTCTGTTAATGACATAAATTATAATTAAAATTAAAAAAATAAATAAAAATTTTTTTTCTCGAAATTACAGAAAGGCAAAATAAGTATAAAGTTATACATTAATCATAATTAAGATATAAAAATACACTGATGTATAAAAAACTATGTATATTATTGTGTTTCGGTCACAAACGAAATGCAAGATTATAAATATATAAAGTAAAAGAATATTTACCTAAAAGTAAGTCAAGATTGAGTTGTACCAAGTCCTCATTAGCAAAATATGGTTATGATTACATAGTCAGTTAATAAAAAGAAGACGACTCAGGCAAAAATACGTTAGAGTTATGAGACAAATTGATGTGACAAATTGATGTAACATACAAGAATAGACGTTAAGTATTAAAGAGGACTTTAATCGAGAGTTGAAACGTTTATACTTCACTTTTATGTAATAAATATTTGTAGAATACATTTGTTTTGTGTTGGATTTTAAAGGCTTTTCTATTTTTTATTTAATTCGCCTAAATTCATTCAAATTTAAAATATTCTATGTGAGCACAAATACTAATTCTCTACCAGCACGCATGAGTCATGGCATAACAATTTTGTAAGAATCTTAGTATATAATCGTAATTTATATTTTTCCCAACAAACAGGACGCCTAGAGTTAATGTGCTGTGTAATTTTAACTCTCTTTCAGTTAATTATTTCATTAAACTATTGAAGCGTGAGTAAGCCTTTTTTTCATATGCAAGCAAACGGTCATCTGTATATGTGGAAGTAAAACTGTAAAAGTCTTAAGGAGCTAACAGTGAAATATAGTTGCAATGCAAAAATTTTCGTATTATAGTATTTACAGTAAATGTAAATTTCCATATACAAAACTCTTGCAGCACAATTCAAATGTAAAATCGGTTATACCGACTTGTGTGTAATCTTCATGACTCCTCGTTGCCTTCACATAACTTGAAATATTTGAAGAAAAACAAAAAATCAAAGATCTGCGGAGCAATGTTTAAAAAGCGCAAAGCACCTCAATAGTTAGACTCTACATATCCCTTCGCTTGGAACACGACGTATCTCTACCTTCCGATGTGTATCTCTACCTCTATAATATAACCAGTGTTGTAACAAGTACCTTTTAAGAAGTATCTAGATATAAATATAGGTACTGTATGGGAAAAGTACCTAGTTACAGGTATAGACACATTTTTTAAAAATTACCTAGGTATAGATACAGGTACAGTGTAGCAGTACCTGAAACATTTTGTTATTTTTTAGGTACTTCTCATTAAAAAAAAAAAAACTGCGTAAACGAATTTTATTTCATATCGCATTACTATTTATGTAGTATATAAAAATGTTTGGATAATTATCATATGTCATACTTTTTTTAAATCAGTAATGCTTCAAACATTGTATCGGAAAGTCAATTTTTTCTGGGGATTAAAATTAAGTTTAATGTAATGATATAATATATAGATCAACGACATATACAGAATGTCCCATTTTAATTACTTCAGGCAAATATCTCAAAAAATACATAAAATACAAAAAAAATGTTTCAGATGAAAATGGAACGTATGGTTTCAAGAGAGACGTAATTTGGTCACGTTGCTTTTTTTTCTTCTAGGTGGAAGCCAAAAAGATATGAAGGTTACTTTCACATTTTTAAATAAAATTGTATGATTTTTTTTTATACAATATGATTCTTCTAATTATTCTGCCTATAAAAGTATTAAGATAGAGATATCAAAAAACCAATATAGTTTACAAGATATTTTATACTTTATTCTGGCACATATTGACATGAAATATTAAATGTCTCGTAAACTATTGATTTTTTGCTATCTCTGTCTTAATACTTTTATATGCAGAATAATTAGAGGAACCATATTGTGTAAAAAAAAAAAATACAATTCCATTTAAAAAAGTGGATGTAACCTTCATATCTTTTGGACGCTTCCATCTCGTAAAAAAGCAACGTATCCAAACTACATCCTCCTCAAAACTGTTCCACTTCCATCTGAAACATTTGTTCGTATCTTACGTATTTTTCAAGGTATTTATCAGGGGCAATTAAAATAAGATATTCTGTATACATAGACCAAATATTCTGTTCGTAGCTTGAAGACAATTTAAGGTCTGCGATTGCGTCTCTTTCTGTCCTCAGAAAAAATAGAGCATGAAACCTCAACAGTCACTGACAGCCATTTAAACTATCAATTTCCAGCTTCATTCCCTATCATTGAAAAACATGGAAATGTTTGATCTATGTATATATCGTTGATATAGATAAATTCTTTTTACGTAATTAAATTTAACCTTATAAAAAAATATTCAGACAGAGATATATATAAGTATCTCTGTCTATAAGGACCTAGGTAATGCACTTAGATACTGCTAAAGTACTTAAGTACTTATATCTAGGTATGTTACAACACTGAATGTAACGTCTTACGACAATTATAGAAAGGTAGTAAAAAAGTAGACAGAACATACATAGGTAGTTTGGTGCAGACCCACCTTTCCTGGGACGCCACCAGTCAGTCTCAAAGTAGCCTGCGGAGCAAGAGTGAGTTGGTGTTGTTGTTGAACAGGAGGAGTAGATGGTGTATGCAGAGGACGATGTGGACAGTCCTTGTGTCCAACACCGGATGAATCGATCAGATTGTATCGCAAAGCAAGGGAACACGCGTATGTTTAATTTTTTTCACACCGCAAGATCAGTTAGATAACAGATATAAAAAATTTATCATATATATGTGTATATACGCGTATGTGTATTATTTTTTGTAATAATATTCCTTTGTGTCCATTCAAAATAAAAAATTGGACAATCAGACATATAATCTTAAAAAGAAACATTATTTCCAGTCAAAATTCTGATTTTGTAATAGTTAACGTTGCACTATCTTTCGTTACAGTAAAGTAGGTGGTATTGGAACAAAATATATGAAAATTTGTTAATCATTAACATAGATGGTTTGTGATCAGTTTTGTATTGTTAGCAGATTGCAAGATTTTTCTTTTGATTGATCGTCAGTAACACATATAATATGTTGGTAAGATTAATCGTCAGTAACACATATGATGTTTGTGTTCAAGAACTAACTGAATTTGCGGTAGTACGTTATGGAAATGAAAATGTATGTAGGAAAACGTGTTGCCACCACCAAAAAAAAAACTTAAACGAAACCCAGATTGATTGTTAGATGCTTACTACCTGTTATGTAATATATTTGTTACACACATAATCTAAGGCTCACAATAAAAACTGTTATTCATGTTCACAATTATAATAATAATTGTAACGTAATAATAATATATTATTCGTTTTTCAATATATTTAAATGTTATTAATGTATATATTTTTAAATATATGCTGATTAATAATATTTGTATCACTACATAAACATAATATATCATTCCTTTAATGTTGAGTATCGTTTGAGTAACAAAATAAAAAAAAATCGTGTAAAAGTGTTGAAAACTGTTAATCCTTTACAAACAATATGAAGGAAAATGATAATTGTGATGTAATGAATTATTCAATTCATATTTAGGAATATGTAAGTTTCCTCGCCACTTTAAAATTAATTATAACAAACAATTTAGAAGGTTAACTCAATTTTAATATTAGTTGTTCTAAAATTAAAAACAAAAAATGCACTTGTATGATTAATAACGTCTTAATTTATTTAGTTAATACGCGAAATAACACAAAGAATATTGTTAAGATTTCGTTTGTAGTTACAGACAGACTGTATAACACAATGTTTTAATAAAAAATATATAAAGATGTATACACTGTGTCTTTTTTATTAAAAAAAACCACCCACTTTACTAATTATTTATTTATGCGAAAACTATGGAATATGTGTAGCTTAATGATATTTTAGTGACCTTAAAACACGCACTGTGTGAATGCGCTATAAACATGTGAACTTACGTTAAAGTGAAAATTAATAATTAATAAATATTAATAATTATTTGGTGTAAAATAACAGGAAAAAGTTAACGATTAATACTTATACAAGATATAATATTTAACATGTCTTATCTTGTAACGAATCAGTTAAGTTTCAAAAATCTTCGGAAACTTTTGAATGGAATTGAAATTATATTATATTTCAATTCCATCATTTATATTTAACGTATGTAAAACCTTTGTGAATTAAATATCATATGTTTTTTTTCTAATATTCAAACGTTTCACAAGTAACACATATGTGCAATATATATATAAATAAATATAAGAGAAATATTGACTCACCGTCGTGGGATGTATGCGTAGTCTGAATGGTTTGCGTTTGCTTGCTGTAGACAACCGGTTCTTTTGGTGGAATATTTGTGTGCGCCACGGAGACAATCGTAAGCTCTCGATTCTTTCTTCGTCCTACGCTGTTTTATACCACAATGTCAAATTATAAATATCGGTCTTAAAAGAAATGCAAAGATGTAAATAAATAAAATACCTCTGAGCAGAATTTATACTAGACGGTTGCAAGCTGGCGTCCGGTGTAGCATTAGCACTTTGTTCAGGCGTCAATGAGCTCATACTAGACAAACTAGAGAGCACATCTGTAAATAAACAGAATCCGTTAGGGAAAAGTGCCCTAGTAATTAAACACATTACTAATTACTTATATACCTGACACTGGCGCTACACCCAAAGAAGACAGCATTGCATCTATCTCTTTACGCTGATCCTTGTCCGTGCCGGCGGCACGAACGGTAGCTTCTTCTACCTACAATCCATAAGCGAATCGTTTTGTCATTAATAGAGACCTTTTAATCAGAGTTTGGCCATAAAAATAATCCAACATTTTTTTCAAAATTGTACGAGTGAGAAAAGATGTTTTATCTCGCTCTGCAGTGGTGCGAAAGAGAAAAAGATATTTTATTTTGTTCTGCAGTGATGCGAGATAAAGATATGTGCTATTAGGTACCGGAAAAAGTGCAGATTTTTAAATAAAAATTTAATATTTTACGGAAACCAAGTGAATAAAGTCTCTATCTAGCCGTTCATCATCATTAGAATATTTGCGCGACGTTTGCATATCTTTTTCGTAGGTTTGAACGCATATATATTCACGCAGTTCATCATCTTCAATAACAAATGAACATTCCGAACGCGATTTATCCTCTAACGATTCAATATCTTCCTTAAACTGCTTAAGAGCTACCACATTTTCCGCTTACTTAAGTAACAGTAACCGTAAGACGTACGAATTAGCCAATCAGAGCTGAAAAATTTTTGATAATTCTTGACTGTGATTGGCTACACTGAAAGAAAAGATTGGCTGCTGCAGCAATTTAGATGGTAAAATATGGCATAGCATTTTTAATTGACTGCAGTAGCCAATCATTTCTTATGGTATGTCCTACGATTATTGTTACGGAAAGTGTATGGGGCAGCCCTAAGGACTCGCACATGTGTCCGACAGATTTTTCCGTGGCATACATGTATACAGTTATCCATGCTATATTATACAGTATTCATAACTGATATTAAAAAAATTAATTCATTTTGACTATTTTTCCATGTCAAATGTGATGATCTTCCGAAGATCCTGGAGCAAAAACTAAGACATTTGGATATTTGTGCCCGTGAAGACTTTTAATCAGCTTGACACAAGTTACAAAATATTAAAATTTGAAGTAGTTTGATCGAGACTCATTTTCCATAAAATTTATGACATTCTTTCTGCTCGTGTCAATTTCATGCATTACATTTGCAAATTAATGACTAATTTGATTTCAGTTCATTACTAACAAGAAAACTGCATGAACTTTTTCCAATACCTAATATCTCGGTTTGACTAAAGCGAGTTTAATGAAAAATATCGGATCAAACATAGACCAGCTATTACATGGCCAGACTCTGGACCAAACATAGATCAGTTATTACCAATTATGACCAGACTCTAACTAGTGTCTCTAGTCATTATTATACATTTCTGTCACTTTTAGCCGCGTACATCTTTAGCTCAGGGTATCAATCATTTTCCCTAGAGCAGAAAGTGAACATTTTTTGTATATATGTGTATATGTACATAAAAATTTTTACTTTTCATATTTCTGCTCTAGAAAAAAAATTACATGATCGATACTCTGTACATATAAATTGAGTATCTGTAAATATATCTTTCTTATCTCTTACATCCTTTTGTTCTTTCTCTCTCCTGCGTCTCTCCTTCTCTTCCCTAATAGCTTGCAGCTTCGCCTTCTTCCTTTCTAACTCCGCCTTCCGATCAGACATCATCTTGACGACTAATAAGAGAAATCACTAAAAAATTATATTTAAAATCTTTTGGATGAAATCTTTGAATATTGTTTAAACTAAGCTTATATTCTGTAACTCTGGCTCAGTTTTTCATTATCTGGAGATTCTCTCAAATTAGCTTAAGAAATTTTTAGCCGTTCACATTTGCTACAAGCACAAGCAAAGATTTGGCAAAGGCTTTAACAGCTTTGGAGCCTTGATTAAAAGAATAACAGATGTCAAAAATGCTCGTTTTTGTCGACTTGGCATTCCATTTCTTAAGCATAAAAATTTATGTAAGCAGTAGCCAATCCAACATGTTGATTTCCTTACTGCTTACGTTTTATTGCTTAAGTTTGTTTGTGTATCATGGCTCTTAGAGCTATCATATACAAAATGACATAAGCTGCATAACCATAGCATAAAGTTACTGGACTAATGAGCATTCAACATAAAAATGCCATATTAATTTATATAAGATATAATATATCCTTATGCTTCAGTTATGCAGCTCATATCATTTTGTGTTCGTGACATTCATTGACTGCTAAAAAGGATAGAACAACTATGTGTCAATTATGTCTTCTAAAAAGAAAGGAATTGTTACAGTAACTTTTAGTTACCATTATAAAATTATTAATTTAGTGATTAATCATAGTTAGAAAAATATAATGTTTACATAAGTTAGGTAAGATTAAGATCTAAAGGATCAATTATGCTGGCCATAAACTGTTAATTTATGCTGTAACTGTTTAACACAATTTCAATGTTTTCATTGGTAATTGTTTCAGCATACACAAACACACAAAATCGATAAAAAATATACCAATCAATACTTTTTACTGTTAGTCAATCATTTCACAAAAAAATGTGTCAATTAGTGTATTTTTTATTAATTTTTATTTGTGTATGCTAAACTAAACAATTACCACCTTTTCGTTTACAATGACTTACCCGACTTACTGCATGTGCATATAACTTACGTCATAAAATTCTCTCAAATTTAATGGCAAGTGACAGCATGTAAGTCTGTGTAAATCATTGTTTATTAAACTTACTGGTTACAATATAAATTAACAGCCAACATAAATTTACAATCAACTGATCCTTAAACCACATATATGTATTACGTCCATTTCTACCAATATAATTAATCTTAATCTCGGTTTAATCTACTCTTTATCCTTATTTAATTCTTAGAACTAGAAAGAGATCAAAGTTAAACCAAGATTGAAGTTTACAGTGGCAAAAACGGACATTAACCATTGCAGATAATAAAAATCGAGCTTCAGAGGAATATACCGATATGTAAAATTGGTTGAGGGAGTTACTGCAAAGGCCAATGTAGTTATTGATTTCTTAGTGATGACGTCAACTCAGGTCAAATCGTCTACCGTTCGATCAATTACAAGCAAAATTAATGCCTTTCGATTATGATCGCTCAAATCATCCGAAATAACGTGTAGTTGTTTAAGCGAAATTAATTTGCATTGAATGCGGCGAAACTTTGAACGATGCACTGACTCGCATTTTAATCTGGGCGATGTCGACGTAAAGCATAGTAAATCATTAACACGAACCAAACGCGACAAAAATGCCGTAGACTCACCTTCGCTATAAATAACAAGCGGAGCGAGTATAACGAGCAATCAAATATACAAACTTTACTCAATTTTTACATTATTTCAAAGAAACGATAGATAAAGCCACAAGATTCTTCACGAACATCCAACCACAGACTTCTATATATACTACTAGCAGAGAGAAGCTTGAGAGCGGCCCAGGATTTAGCTGCAACCTTATTTTGAAGCGCCTCTATGTCCACAAAACGTGGACATTGAACTACGTAGCCAATATCCACGATCTCGTCGATAATGTCCACGATCCCATCGGTAATGTGCACGATTTTTCGATTATATTCTTCGCTATGGCCGGTATTCATAATCGGTTCTCATTTCAAGACCGTATTAAGGCCAGTATTCATAGTCAGATCTTACACGGGGTCTACAATTGAAGTCATAGCGGTCGTAGGGTCTTAAGTCATAGAAAATTGACCAATCACAGCTGATTATTCTTCTCATATTCGACTGTGATTGGTCAATTTTCTACGATTTAAGACCCTACGACTGCTACGACTTCTATTGTAGACCCCGCATTAAAATCCTAATACGGCTCTCTGATTGGTTCATACATCTTAAGACCATTTCGAATCTTGAGCAACGTCTATGGATTTCGTCCTATGAATATTAGCCTAAGGAAAAGCAGTGGCCAATCACAACTTGCGCTGGTAGTAAGTAATACAAAAAACCGAAATTGTCGAATACCAGCGCAAATTCTGATTGGCTGCTGTTTTTCCTCTTTCTGCTTTTCCGTCAAGGTGTGAACGCGCCCTAAGTAATGTCTTAAGACGCTAATTGGCCCTCTGATTGGTTCGTGACATATGTCTTAAGACTGTACTTAAGACGGTCTTGAATATAAAATCTGACTATGAATACCGGCCAGAGAGCCGTATTAGCATCTTAAAACATTGCTTGAGATTAAGACCGGACTATGGATTCCAGCCTATGGCCACGATTTTCAATCCGTTAGATAAATAAAAACGAACAATCAATCTGTCGGCCCTTGTTGAACAAACGATTGTTCGTCTACTGGACTGCTAACTCTTTCATGGTGGAAGAATTAAAGCCCAAGACACAATGCGAAGGAACAGCGATGGCGATAGGAATAACATGATTTCAACCTATCAGGAATCGGATATATTGGAATACACAGTTTCTGATAGGTTGAAATCGTGTTATTCCTATCGCTATCGCTATTTCCTCGCATTGTGTCTTGGGCTTAAAGGTGTGCTTGTTGCCTCGTTTTCGAGATGAACTTTGTACCGTTCTGCGCACAACCAGATGCGGCCATTTTAAACTTTTGCATCGCAGTAATTTTGAAACGACACAAATATACAGGATGACCCATTTTAATCTATCACCCCAAATATTTCTGTTCCCTTGCAATTTACAAGAAAATGTTTCAGACAAAAGATGCTGAGTGTAATGGTTCCTGCACACTGGACGCGGAAAAGCTTACCGCGCAAAATGCGACGCAGTAACCAATGAACATGTTAGGAGCTGTAAGCTTATTGGTTACCGTGTCACATTTTGCCGCGCGGCAAGCGTTTCCGCGTCCAGTGTGCAGGAACCATTAAGGTACCTTTTCATGCTGACGCTCGACGCTCATTTTCGGCGTCAATATAAATCACGTGATAGAAATTGACGAATATCAAGCGATAATTTTGATCACGTGATCTACTTTGACGCTAAAAATGAGCGTTGAGCGTCAGCATGAAAAGGCATCTTTACACTCAGCATCTTCGCTTTCTCTCTTTTCAGCGTCAAATATATATCTATCTTATTTTAAGTGTAAAAAGTGTAAAAAAGTATAAGCGCAAGTCAAACAGAACTTCTCGCAGGCGCAACTGAGGCTGAGGTCCACTTGACGTTACAAACGCTTCGAAACATTCTTTGATTAGTCAATTCGTAAAATTCTTTATTCTGATTGGTCGCTCAAACGCTTCGAAGCGTTTGTAGCGTCAAGTGGATCGCAGCCTGAGGCTGATGTTTTTAGCAACGGTTAATAGTGCTAAAGGCAGAAAATCAGTGGTATTCATCACGTAGAGAGAGGTGAGAGGATCTCTAATTCAATCTTCTCTGATTGTGAGTAACACTGGTGAGTCAGTGAGTGGTGACAAGTGACAGTGTCAGCGGCACTAGCGGCAGTGTCTGCTGCGCAGTGCGCTTGTCGATTTAAGTGAATTCAGGTGGAGGTTAGCGTCGCATCTGCGTTCGTCACGAAATCTTTTAGTTCGATACTCCTTCCCGTAGTTTCTGTCACTTTTGCAAAGGAACAGTAATAGCAGACGGAAAATCACGAAGATGGGCGAGAAAACTGGTAAGCGATAAAGAACTGTCTCAACTTGCTGTGCGTACTCTTATATGCTCCGATAACAAAATGAAAAGAGAAAAAAATTCGGGCGGGGAATGATTCTTATTTCGAAATCGATTGTTGCATTTTTTTCGTTTCGCGAATAACCGTGCCGTTTGTTCGATATTTGGAACGTATTGTACTAAATTATTGTATAAAAAAAACAAAAGAAAAATGTGAGGGAAGAATTTGAAACGAAATTGCAACGCGTTCCTCGATTTTATCTCGCACGATAAGAACAAGATAAGGGACTTTCTATAGACTCGGACTTTCCTTGTTTTCTCGGGACAGAACACATCGTCATGACGCCGAAATGCAAGACAGCGAACTCCACGACGTTGATAATTGAGAGACAGGCCCTGGAGCCGCCAGCGGAAAACGGGAACGAGAACAATGTCCACATCGCTGGTGGGGATCACAAGGGGATTGTTATCAACAAACAGGTTGTGGCGGGTATGGCGTACTTGCTTTAATCGATTGATAAATACTATATTTAATAATAATAATAATAATAATATCTTGAAGTGTAAAATACTGAAGTAAAATACTTGAGTTTGAAATGTTTTACATATAGACAAAATAATAATAGATAGTAGCATATAAAATGTGAGGCCTCAGAAATGATATTGCTTACAAGCCTATAAGATTTTTAACACATTTATATTGACTTGTAGCATTTTCCATTAGTGAAACTAATGTAATATTGGTGCAATTGAGTGCAAATCGATTTATATTTCTTTTGAATGTTAATAAATAATTTAATTAATCCTTTAAAAAGTTATCAGGTTATCATGACAACAAAAAATGTGAAATTAAAATATGTAAATATATGAATAGATTTGTATTCAATTGCACTCAGTGTGCACCAGTTTTCTTAGTGAAAAACTATTAAGGAGATCCAAAAGTCGTTTGTTTTACCAATTAAGCGCAATAACTTTTGTGTCGTAATTTTTTTCTTTTTTTTTTATCGATTTAAAAGTCTCCCAAGTAGCAAAGTGACGTCAAATGACGTCTTAATAACATTTTAATGACACCTTTAACGTCAATAAGATGTCATTAAAACGTTGCCTTGCTACCTGTTTTCAGAATTAAAGCCTATTCTACAATGTGCTTTTTGTTTCCTGTTTCTTGCTTTTTGTTATTTTTTGTATCTTGCCTTTTTGCTTCTTATCCCGTGTTTTCTCTTGCTCGAGATAAACGTTAACGAACTTCAGAAGAAACAGAAAATACATATCAAGAAATATAATTGTCGATAAAACGATCACAAAGAGGAAAAAAGCAAAAGGTAAAAAGCAAGAAACAGGAAACAAAGAGCATATTGTAGAACAACCATAAAGTATGTGCATTAATATGCATAGTGAAAGAAACCCAGATGTGCTCATTCTCGAAATGAATTTCGTACGGTTCTGAGCAGACGTGCAAACACATACGGCCATTTAAACATTTGCACTACAGTAATTTTTAAGTGACATGTCGATAATAGGCTTGTTCTTTTTGGCTGAACTTTTGCACCAGTTCCTTTTTTCTTCCTCTTCTTTCCTTCTGGAGAGAAAAGGAAGAAAGATGAACTGGTGCAAAAGTTCAGCCAAAAAGAACAGGCCTAATTATTCACGAGAATTGCTTCAGATACCGACGAGATACTATTAAAGATGATTTTATGGAAGTTCGTGTCATAAAAATTTAAGTTATTAAAAGCACACAAGAAACTGATAATATAATACTAATTTTATCGAGGGGTAATCACTTAATGTAATCGTAGGACAGTGTCCCCGAAATCAATATAAAATCGTGAATCTGGCAGAAAAAAGCGTCCCTCTGCTCTGTGGGCACCGAGATAGATTTTTAGAAAAAAATTTTGATAAGTAAACACATGCACCAATGGACATAGGATTAGATATGTCATGTGATTGGTCCTGGGTTATGCCACGAGCAATTAAGGTTTATTTTTTCGTGGTTTTCGAGATCGTTTCATGGACAATGGATGCATTTTAGAATAAAAATTACATATTTTTTGTACATAATCTGAATCTGCAACAAAAAGTGAAAATATAACATCCGGTCTAGATTAATTTATTTCCGATCAGAACCGGAAGTTGAGAATATCGACAAAATGTATCCAATTTACTTATAAAAATTTTTAGGATTTTTCATAAAAATCATTTTTTTTTATTTTAAAAAGAGGTATTTGGGTGCTTGTATATTTATTATTTTTATTCTTTAATAAAACTTTGTAAACGCACATTTTATAAGTAACTGTTACATTTTACGTCTTATTTCTAAGCATTATTTAAAATTTTTCATGAGCCATATATTTCACCTATGAGTAATTATACATCCCATCCCTATGGGATATACGGTAAAAATAATAGTATTGCTTGTTTACTTTACATATAATAAATAATACTTCATAAATTAAATTTTTGATAGGTGCGGAGTAGGTCATATACCGGAATTACCCTATTTATTTTTATTTTTTAATCATTAACAATCACCTAATTGTTTAAATGAGACGTACAAAGTCTCAAACGATGCAAAAAAGCAAAACACATGTTAAAAGAAGGAAAAGTTCTTTAGATCGATTTTTGTGAAAAATACATTTTAAAAACCAATGTTAATAGTGTATTGTAAGAGTATTCAAATGTTTAATGAGCTGTCGGCACGAGTTCCCGTTGTGTTGATTGAGTTGTAATTTGGCAGGAATTATTTTTTTGTGAATTGGAGGAAGGGGGGGAAATCATTTTGAGGGATGCCGCGGGAAAAATTCGAAAGTTTAAAAAATATGAACCATCCTACTATATGTATATATATATATATATATAAATACCGTGTCGATATATAAATATATAAACGTGTAAGGGATTACAGAAAGCACTGTGTATAAAAATTAAGGAAAAATGTGGCATTTAAATAAATTTAATCCGAATACATCGCGTATTTAATAAATCCAATTGTTGTAGTGACAAATGGCGAGGTGCATCCTGCCCAACTGTGCTTGCAATTTAGGGTATTTCTCGTAAGCGCACAAACTGGAAAGCACACACAAGAACAGAGAACTCTCCAATTTTGGTTTGTCGACACGCTCGCCGAGGCGGAACAGCCAAGCGTTGCGCAAGAATTTTTCCGAGAACTCGTCACGCCGCAGGAGTTTCCTAGAGGTAAATCGTAATGTGATACGCATTGATTGACAACCCGAGCACGTTTCTTAAAACTATATTTTCAAGATCAAATGTACCTGATGTAACTAAAGTCAATAAGTGGAGGTTTTTTGTTTTCTTAAACTCGTTAGGATATAGTTTTAAACGGTTGACAATTAAAGAAGCAGAACGTGAAATTCTATATGATATCCAAGGAAAAATATCAAATTTAATAATGTTCACGAAATCACTCATATCGATTAATTTTTTATATATAAGTTTCTATGATTGATATAAATTTTTATTCTTCCTTGCTGTGTAACATTTTACAGTGTTATTTATTTTCCGCAGATTATGTGGGATTTATTAAAAAAATAATGAAATTGATGCAACATAAATATCCCAGCATTAAAAAACTAGAGGTGGAATTGAGACAATTGGAAGAGCCCATTACTCTTCCAAGCAGGCCATGTAAGTATTTAAATAGATATTTTTTCTTTGTTAAATACTACAGAAATAAATTACATATAAAGTGTACTAAATTTAATCCTACATACATTTTCATTCTCAAATTATAATGTACTTTGGCTTAATAAAAAAAAAGTCTAATGATATGAATGAAGGGAAGAGGGTTAATGGTTATTAAATTAAGCTGATTAGGTTTAATAGCATTTATTGAAAGATACTATACGTGTTTCAAGTGCACATTGTAGCTGAACTCTAAAGGAAATGCACACTTGATTAAAACTCAGTGGTTCATATATCCATTATGTAATTTAAGTCAGGGTTTTCTCATGTTCTCTGTACGCAGTTACACTGTATTGAGCACTGTTTTGGACATCTATGTCATACTTAATTTCTATTATTCACAGCTACTGGTCACTTACTATTCACACTTCCTCCCTCTGAGAAAGTTATGTGGAGATCAGGTTCGAGAATGAAAAGAAATTAACTTTTGTCACATTTCATTGATGTTTATTCCTTTCTTTTCTCATACACAATCTAATGATCCAAACGAAACTAACACACATAATATATTTTCTTGTAACACAATAATTGCTAGATAAGAGAGTTTGTAATTTTTTTGTGCGTAGAATTAGATTAAAGAAAAAAAGAAATTTCTTTCTATTTCGATAGTAGATATACAGTGTCCCATTTTAATTTTCACATTGAAATATTTCGAAAAATATAAAAGATTTTTATATTTTTTGAGATATTTCAATGTGAAAATTAAAAAGACAGATCATCCTGTATATACATTCTGTCGCTTAGCACAATAATCTGGTAACCATAACAACATTGATTTAACATTTATGCATTGATTCATATTACGATGTCCTATTTAGCAACTTAGGGGTCATTCAAAAAATATGTTCGTTAGAATTTTTCAGCTCTCTGCTCCCCCCTTCGTAATACTTGAGGTTTGTTCGCATCGCAAGGTCTAACACGCTCCAACATGCTCCTACCATAACTCCTACTCTATCAAGCGCGTTGGAGTGAGTAAGAGCTATGATATGAGCATATTGGAGCATATTGGAGCACGAGGATAAACCTCTAATAACAGAAACTATAACCCCCCTCCCAAAGGGAATTAAAATAAAATCCCCCCTTTTTTAATAAAAGAAAGAAAGGCCATAAGCACTAATAAGCCTTAAAAAGATATTTTGATGTTTTATACACAATAAGGATGAAATGATGTTTATAGTATGTGAGCGTGAAAAACGGAACGCACTTTTAGAATCTATTCCTATTCAATTGCACAAGTAATTTGAATGAATAAGCAGCAATACAAAATCGAACGTTTGCGTTTTCTTTAACTCCCTCCCCTTCTCTCCTTCGTTTATTTGCATAACACTTTCGATAACTCCCTCCCTCCTAAGTGAACGTATTTTTTTAATAACCCCTTAAAAAAAGAAAATATATTTCTATTCTCTTTGTTAAAATTAAAATGAAACATGTTACACGGGTTTATAAAAGTTATTATGCACTTTGATTATGTAAAAAAGGATTTTCCAATCTATTTAACCGAACGAGCAATTACTAGAGAATACTTTAGATATTAGAGTGTGAAGAACAACCCATTTGATTTGACCTAGATTTTCTACATACGGTGTACAATATATACATATCTACCCTCACAGCATGTATAATTATAGATAAAACTTATATATCACAAACATTTTAACGTCCAACATACACGAACAATGATATATAATTACACAATAAACATCAACTATATTTAGAATATGGATTTATTTAATTCAAATTTAATTTCGTCAATGCTATTTTATATTAATTTCAAAAACGAAAATTCATAGCATCAAAGTATATGCACACGTACTTATAGCTACATATCTTATCATATATATCTTCTCATATACATATCATATACATGTCATAAAAATCATATTTATTTGTCTGTCTCAAATTATAACTTTTTCGAATTGGTTATTCACTGATCATTATCATACTATATAGCATAATGACATTGCCACTTTAGTCTTTATTCTGTAAGGAAATGCATCTATGTAGAGCACGAACCTTCTACTCGTGATTATTAGCTGCCATAATGTATATGTGTTCAAGTTTCCATTCCCACATATAATCTGTACCTTTCACTAACGGTTCTAGCTCGAATCTAGCTATAGAAACAAAGACTTAAGTTAAACTATGCACTTATTACAGTTAGATTTTGAAACTTACACTTCTACTTTGGATAGATTAAAAACTATACAAGTTTAGACTCATCTACACTCATCTACACAGCAAAAAATTTAACTTGCATATGTTATGGAGTGCTGTATTCTTGTTTTGATGCTATTAACTGTCATTTAAAATTACAATAGGCGGCTTAAAAGTTTGACAAACTACAATGTCCCTAACATAATTGCACGATTAAATAAGTATTTCTTTTTTTTTTTTATTAAAAGTATCTACAGATGAAATAGTCATGGGTCAAGTGATTGAGCTGACAGTAGAAAAAGTTCTGGAGCTTATCGAGTCTGCCTATCCGAATCCTGTTACCGTGGTTGACATTGCGAAGTAAGTAATTGTATTAAATAAAATTTAGATATACACAGGGGGGGGGGAATGACATGTTAAATGAAATTAAATTTAAGGAATGTTTGAGTTCGGTTTGATTCTTCAAATATCGATAATTAATTGCCCGAACTTTTAATCGATTTATCAAGGTTCGAGTTTAAGACGGATCAATTCGTTTAATAATCGGTTTCTGTTTAAAGAATTAAGATTGTAGGTAATGGTCACAAAAAAGTAATAAATCAACGGTCATTTCGGGAAGATATTTACATGCATAAACTTGCAAATTTACTATCGTATTCATACTATTTTATTAAGATATACACATACTATAATGAAACATACTATTTCATTAAAATATGCACGTAGTTTTAATATTTTATCTAAATTATGCAAATGTCTGTGATTTTGGGCCTTGGTAAAGCATCTAAAATTTTCGGCACTTTACTAAAGAACTACCTTAATCAATCCGATTTGAAAGCAATTCAGTAATAGATTCTTTAATGAAACTCGTTCATCCCTAATTAAATTTCAATTTCATTTTATTTTTAGGGAACATGGATGGGAGCTATCAGCTGTGGATGCTAAATTAAAAGAGCTTCAAGAGAAAGGGCTTGTTAAAGCAATAGATCATGGGGCTTTCACACGTGTTGTTCATGAGGATACTCAAGTCCAAGTAATTTATTTAAATATAAATTTTTCAGTTCATTTTTGTTAACATATAACGTAATGCTATAAAATATATTTTTAGGTAGTAAAGTCGATGCCAACGATGGCAAGCGCGAAACAACCCACTATTGCTATCATTACAGCTCAATATTGTGAAAAACTTGCTGTGGATTCATTGATTGAGAACAAGGAAACCTTTGTTCGCTACACCACTGTTGGTAAGGTTTTTCCTATTTACTCTATTCAGTATTGTTTAAGATATACTTTATATATCTCCCAGAACAATAATTCTAAAATACTTCCGATATAAAATTATGATAGGATAATATTATAAAAAATAACTAATTTCTCTATTCTATTCTTTTATTAGAAAATAGTCATAATTGAAATATTAAATGATATTCATTTGAAATATTAGAAGAATAGTTCTGTTGACTCTCCTGCTTTTATTCCTAGCTATATTTTTTTAAATAAAATCGTCTACTAAAATAATTATTTTTAAAACATTTTGATTAATTTATACAGATAAAATTTCACTAGCATTCTAGTTGTAGTCATTAGTCATTCCTTTTTTTCCGCTCTCATGCAAATATAACGCGATTTATATTGTTCGCTAATCAGCGGCAAATGTTTAAACAATAATGGAAGTATATTTCACCATGCATGAAACTTTAGGTACCGCAAGTTCGTCAGATGCAATAGACGGAATTCCGCGGGTGATATGCCGTTTTGGTAAAGTAACTTGTAACATAACTATCATTTTAATGTCATTTCATAGCTTGCCAGTTGCTTGTGAACCGAAGAACAATGCAAGGCAAAATGGTGCTACAAATGTACATTTTGAAACACATTAATTCTTTTATGTTGACATTACAAATTCATTGTATTTCATTGATTCAAATTCATTGATTTCATGTATTATACATATATGTGTAAAATTCTTATATAAAGTTTTTGTTTTGTGTTGTAAACGTTTTGTATGGCTTTGTTTTTGTTATATGTAATAATTTTGTTAGGCTTATTTATATTTTATATTATATTCATTTTATGTGATTTGTGTATACATTAAATTATTTTATTAATTTTTATTCTTTCTATAAATAATATTATAATAATTATATTTTTTATATTTATACTTCTCTTGTAGATTTTATCTCTTTTTTTTTATTAATGGTAACATTATTTGTTTTCAAAAATTTTAATAAAATATTTTAGTTCTTGATAACTGTGCTTCCATTCAAATGTATTCAATCAGTGACTTCTCGACAATACTATAATAGATAAGATTTTCAAAGAAATTTTTTATACCATTTACTTCTCTTTGTTATGTCTAGTATTATTACTAGACTTGGGAGATGCTTTTACATGGAATGGATTATTACCTATTTTATCGTCACATATAACACAGGTTCCGTCCTACTTTGTTGATAGCCGCACAATGCACATATATAATACAAATCGAGAATATACATTAGAATTACATAGAAGGAGATATAAACTTCAAAATACATAAAGATACAAGTAATGAATGGCTATATCATTTTGTTATAGGAGAATCAAATGTATATACTTTGGGCAATATCGGTACGCATAGGATTGTGTGCACTAAACTACCAACTGTGGGACATACCAGAGAAGCAATGACCGCAGCTGGCAATACCACTACTAGATTGTTGGGTATGCATTTAGCTTTAAATTTTTTATTCTATATTATAGTCCGTAGCCATATCATTAGGTGCATTACATATTTTTATAATTTATTGATTTTTAATGATCAGATTTACATTATATTATCATTTTTAGATTTGTTTATTTCTAGACTGTAGAACTCTTTTCTCGTTTTCACCAAATTAAACATATATTTACCTATCTGACTTTAAGTTCCAAAAGTGTACATTAACTCAGCTATAGAAAACAGACAAATTTATTGTAATCGAAACATAAAAAAATAGTTTATAAAATGAATGCATTAAATTTTCTTATTGCTTATAGTGTTAAAAAGTCTATGAACCTGTTAGCAGTAGTAGAAGCCATAAAAAATGCAATGTTTTCTATTATAGCAATTGTGTTTTATTTGTTTGTCAGTGAATTTTAATTTAAAAATTATGTAACATTATTAGAATTAATTAAATTCTAATAGCCGTCAATAGTGGCTTAAAAAAAATATTTAAAAAACATCTCTTTATTTTACAAAAATAAGTAAATATTTTATGAATGTTATCAAAACTATGTTTTTATTAATTAAAAATATCCACACATGGAAGAGAAATCTCTACTTTAGATATGTAAACATAAAAATAATTATTTTCAGTCACATATGAAAAGATCTATCGAAAAATCTGTGCGTCTAATGGCATGGCCAGGGACTATATATATATATGTATACCATATGTATATATATGTATATATATGTATATATGTATATATATATGTGTGTATATATATATGTATATGTATATATCTTATTATTTTCATTACATATTGTTACAATCTTTAGCCTTTGAATATGTTAATAGGTACTTTTCAAAAAGTGGATTTTGTTTTTCTTGTCGGAGTTGGTGGTGGTGTTCCTCACTATACAGATTACAATAAACACGTGCGATTGGGCGATGTGGTGATATCGCATCCAACGCCGCTCAATAAGAAATATGCGTACGTTTATTGCGAAAGTGCTAAGATGAATGAAAGCGAGAACTATCATTTTGAGACCAAGGAATATTGCCCTCCAAATCTTGGTCTTCAAGAAATCGCGGCAACTCTGAAGAAGCAGGTAATTTCGATCGATATTAGGTATTGATATATTTATATATTTGTATGAATCCATGTTACATGCTTGTTTAAAATATTTATCTTTTTCTGTAGGCTGAAAATGAGACGTTTCCGCCATGGCAAATGTACATGAAGGAAGGTTTGCAGAATTTGGTCAATCAATCAGAACATGATTTTAACGCGCCACCACCAGAATCTGATAAATTATATATGGCTATTGGAGAAAGGGATGTTATCGAAGTATCTCATCCAATCGCTCCTCAAGATTCTATAAATAAAAGGTGAAAATTAATTCAACGTTTCACCGCACACGCTGTACACCTTTATTATATAAATATATACTAATATTTTTTTCATTGCAGAACTGATAGATGCTCCCGCATTCATCTGGCACCAGTAGCTTCTGGCCGACAAGTCGCACGAGACGATCAACTTAGACAAAAGTTTGCGAGCCGATTCGGTGCGCTTGCATTTGATGCAGAGATGGATGCTGTCGTAGAGAGTATTTTGGGTAATTGTCGCGAGAATTTCATTGTAATCCGCGGAATTGCCGATTACAAAGACGGCACTCGAATCAAAGAATGGCAGCCATACGCGGCATTAGCGGCAGCCAGCGTAATGAAAGCTATAATATGTGCTATGGATCCACCTATTAATGACTAATATCACTTCTCGTCTAGTTTTTCTAACTTTATTTTACATAGCGTAACAATGCAACGCGCATAACTTTTCGTAGGGCAAAGGATGAAATCTAAAATCAAAATAGCACATATTACATAAAGTGCACAAAAATAATTAAGTAACTGGCTTATTCAATGAAGTTCCTTATTAAATTAATATTTAAAAATAAACAAATAATTACGCAATACTTTTGTAGATTAACGCAGTATATTAAATCTTTTATAACTTTGTTAGTGCCATTTTTACAAACGTTTATTTGATAATATTTATTGCAAAGGTGTTTTTACTCGATATTACATTATTAACATTGAGATCAAATACTTTCGAGAAAATAGCAAGAAAAATATTTGATTACGTTATTTCTTACTTGAATTTTTTACGCGTTAAAGCTTGAAAAAAAATAGTGCCATTATTATTTTCTATAATTATCGCATAATACGTTGCAAATTTTGCAACGAGATATTTTTTTTGCGAAAATAAACTTACATTCATCTTGAATGTATGTTAAAGAAGTGTGTTGCAAACACATATATGTTCAACTTTGAACACCAATCAGAGGCAACAAAGACTAATAACGCTTTAAAGGATCATTCTCTGGATAGGTAATTTAATAGTGACTCTGTCTAACTTAATCTAATAGCACTATTGTTGCATTCGTACTTGCTATGATTAGGATGATTAGATATTGGACGAGTTCAAGTCGGCAAAGCGGCTAGATCTGCTTGCCGAGCAATTAAACATGATTGGTTTGATCCACAAGTAAAAACCAATCATGCTCATTCTCTTGGCAAGCATGTCTAGCTACTTTGTGCCGTCTTGAACTCGCCCATTGCATTAGGTCCAAACGAAAATACCAGTTAAGCAAATTATAAACTGTTGTAGTGATAGGTATAATAGACGCAAATGTAACTGAAAGTAAATTTGACAGTATTTACCAAATCGAAATGAAATTGTCGTTACAGTATATTGCTGGAGTAATTATTAAATGTTTGCCAGAGTATATATTGACGTTTTCAACAAATATGTATGCATTCTATATTCACACAGTATACATCTACGAGGATCAAAATGCATTTTTCTGAAGTCTTAGATTACATGGACGAGACGCGTAACAAAAGTTTCTATTACAATGTGCCAACGTGTTCATACTTGTTAAATTCACTGCCCTTTTAAAAAATTCAGACACTGTCTTCGCAAAAAATTTTCAAGATAAATTTTCTGTACCTTTAAATATTTTATCGGTATACCAATTCTTTCGATAAGTCTACATTTACAGGGTAGTGCATACAAAAACTTAATGTTTAAATATCAAATTTAAATATGAGCCTAAAAAGATAGAAAAAGATATATTATTCATATACAGGGTGTATTTAAATACCAAACTTCGGGAGCATGTAGGGAATCGATAAACTAAGAAAAAAAAGTCCTTTATGCTCGTTTTTGCTTCATTTTGGAGAAAATCGCAAAAAAAAAGACAACGTAATTTATATTGTTCGGCGAATCATTACGTTGACCAGTGCTGCGACACGAGCTGTTCGTACAAAATGCAATGCGTGCATTGCTGCAAGAAGCCAACATTTTGAACAATATCTGCATTAAGCAAGTGAATAAATAAGTGTGAACGAATAAGTAATAAATAAGTACAAAATGAAGAAAATGAAAATAACGTTTTATCTTTTTTTTTTGCAATTTTCTTCGAAACGAAGCAAAAACGAGCATATTTCGAAAGAATTCTTCTTTTTTTCTTAGTTTATCGATCCCCTACACGTTTCTGAAGTTTGGCTATTTAAATTCGGGACACGCTGTATATACATATGTACACATATTAACAATGAAAGAGATTTGAAATTTTAGCAGAAATGCAAAATAACATAAAAACTATGAAAAAAACGATTGATTCTTGCTATATCTTAAAAGGTACATAAGAAAAATATTAATATTTATTTATTTTACGTTTTTATACAATCTCTATCTCTTTCTTTTTCTTTGTGCAATAGTTTAATATTTTGTCTATAGCCCACGTGCAGCGCACGCGAATTTGAAGAGATTCTATTGATACGTGTAAAATCTGTTTTGAAAAATTATTTATACATGTTTAGCAGGGACATTAATCAATACTGAATGGTAGAAAGACCTAAAATCAACACAAACGACAAAAGTCACTTGTTGCATAGTAGCACATATTTAAAATTCTATCAAACATAAAAAATGATTATATAGTGAGAAGCAAAAGTTCCGAAAATGGCCTATTATCTCAGAAAGAACATTGGTTAAAAGGATCCTAAAATCATCTGTGTGGTTTACCGATTATTTTTCAAATAAGTATTTTTCTAACCGTCTTTATACAGATTTAAAAATTCTTTTCCACAATTAAAGTATAAACGATAATATAATTCACCGATTTTATGTTTGACGTCGAGAATTTTCCAAAATACTATAACAAAGTATTTTTTTTATTATGTATATCTCGAATTATGAAGCTTAAAAGTTACAGTATCGTCTGCGTCAATATTATCTACGGTGTTCTATTGATGGCTAAACCTTTTAAATGTTGTTCAGGATCGTAAAATACTTTATGTACTTTGTTATAGTATTTTGGAAAGCTCTCTACTTCAGTTACAAGGATAAGAGATAAAAAGCGGAGGTTTTCATTTAAAATTTTTTATTGATCTTGATCACGTTTTTCAAAGTCATCTAAAGCTCAAGCAAATAGTCAAAGCTCAGCTGCTAATAGATTTTTTAATGTTTGTTCGAAATATTTTTTCATTAACCAATACCTTCTAAGACAGGCTTCTTCCAGAGTTTTTGCCGTTCACTGCATACTTGCGCGCGTGAGCGCGCACACACGGTGAGCTTGATAAAATGTTTATCACATTTTTTTTTCCCCCGAAAACAGAGGTAGGGAAAAGATATTTATTATCAAAATTGTGATATAAATAAGGGACTATACTTTGATGACCTTAAATGTTCTTGGTTCTTTTACAAATTTTTTTTTTAATGAAAAGACTATTTTTTAGTCATTCTATCGATATACTCAATAAACTGAATATCTTTGTACTAGAGTTTTTTCCGAAAATTTAACTATTTTCTGGGTATAAACTAATAGCGAATTTGATTGGACGCACTAGTGCATATTAAAGCTGTTGTACACTGATTTAATTTGAGTATAAAATAAAATGCAAATATTTTAAATTATAAAATAGATATTGAGCATCAAATTTATTTGTGATATTATTTCGAAAAAAAATTTAGTCCGAAAAAAAATAATTCGGCGCGTTCAAATGACTACAAATATAGTAATTATGTATATATATACATATATAGTATATGTAAATTCACATGAAATTATTTAAGTATTAAGGATCCAGCTTCGACTGATCATCAAAATTTGTCCCACTACTTCTATAATTTTAATAAGATTATATTTTTTCCGTATCTCTAATCGTTTTAAAAAAAAAACGTGGTGAACTTTTCTTCAAACTTACTTTAGATGGTGTCTCAGACCTGTGGAATCACCTCTCGTGAGCAGATAGAGCGGACTAAACTGAATTAAAAAATCCTCTATTATTTTGTAATTTTCGCAATAGTTATGTGAGATATTAATTTCTAAAGATCGCCAAATAAATGTGTATCTGCCCGGCCTATCATCAAACGCAAGCACATGGTATGATATATTTTCTTTCGCCGCTTACGTGTTACCAATGCCATTGTAAACAATTCCCCACACGCCTAACAACCTACGGCGATTTGCATTCCTACTCGCACTTATCTTTGGTGATAAGCCATGCTATTTAACAATCTTTAGAAATTAATATCTTGTTAACTATTGCAAAAATTACAAAATGGTAGAAGACTTTTCGACTTAATTTGGTCTGCTCTACTTGCTCACGAGAAGTGATCCCGTAGATGTGGGACACGCTGTATAAAGTAATATAAATACTATATAATATATGTTCAAATTGAAATGGGCGCGCGTGGATTTATATAATAAAAGTTTAAATTGATGTATATGTGACGATAGATTTCTATTTTAGACCTAATATTAGTTATACATTTATTGTGAAATTCCTTTTTCATAGTCAAATTTAGGAGCTTCCAATTGCGCATCGCATTTACGTTATTACGCGTTTTTGATACTAGTCGCATCTCAGTTTCCTTATATTTATATTTGCTACTTATTAGATTATAATATATCATAGATACTAATATAACATACAAGTTATTTCATGTGATTATTTAGTTCGTATTTTATAAGGAGAAGTTATTTCTATGTCAATGTCAATTTAAATGTGTACTTGATGAATAGCGTAAATTATTATTTACAATGATCTTTCAAATTATTTATATGATTATTATCTTAAGGTTTGAATATTTCCAATGCGGCTTTTAATTATGTAAAACTTTCAAAATATAATATAGAGAGAACTAGCAATATTAAAAATGTGCATAGAACATTGAAACGTTGATATCTTGGCAAATTTCTTTTCTTTTTTTTTTCCAAGACAAATCAATGTTCTATTAATCTTTAGAATTTTTGATATATTTTTATGATTAAATATATGAAAAATATTGTACTAATATTTATAAATATTATCAAAATATGTATATTACTTAGAAGGGGAATCCCAAAAATGTTCATCGAGTTTTTCGATGCAAATTTTTTGGTGATTCTCGAGGTTAAAAAAATATGTGTCGTCATGGTGGAAGAAAACAAGTGAGACAACTTGGATGTGCAATAAAACCAAAATTTAGGACCAAAATTTGATTGGCTAGTTGATTGTTCTGAATTGCCATTATACGCGTTGTCTTGAATCAAGTTCGCATTCGAGATTCGGTAATTTTTGTTTTTCTTTAAAATATTCGTTCTGTTATGTTTGTTCTTCTTCTTTCAAACAATTAGAATATTGATATATCATAATATTTCCTACAAAAACAATATTAAAGCGTTTCTAAATGGTTAACCTCTAGACCGCCGATATGATGCCATATGGCATCATATGATGATTCGTACACATCGAACAATGTATAGTAGATATATATTGGATTATTATAGGGCTTTATGAGGAAACTATCCATGATTTTGGATTTTAAAGTCCCGGCGGTCGAAAGATTAAAAAATTAGTTTCGCACACAAAAACTATTAATGGCACGTATGTTTCGAGACAACGGAATCTCAA